GTGGCGAGCCTTGCACGTGAGAGGCACAGTGGAGGTGGAGTTCAAAGAAGAATGAGAAATTTAATGGTTTCAATCTGCCCTTGTTTTTTCTTTTTGTTTTTCTTTTTATTTTTATTTTTGCATGTTATCACTGTGCCTGTTTTTTGCTTTTATTCTTTGTTCCGCAAAGTGCGCTCTTTCAGTTTGTAGTGATGTGACGATATATTCTCCGATGTTGCTAGCCCTCTGCTCTTGCAGATTGAGCGGCGAGCATCAGGCCTGTACAACCAGGCACTCACTTTTTTGTGGAAGACAATATGTACACTTTTTCCTTCAGTGCATGATGTGATTGTGATGGCGGTCACCGCAAGGGCACGGGTTGCACCCGTTTCCCGTGCAGTGGGTATAGTGACGGCCCGCCTAAGGTTGGCCACACCCGGGCGGCTGCCTCCATGCCCACTCACCTCTTGTTCCCTGTTCTTTGGGATAATCCTTCTACGCTGGCTCATGCATGTGTTAGTTGCTTGGTGACATCTTTTTATGTAGACACTGTTGGTCTATCGGTGTAAGGCTTTTGGCATTGCTGCTGGTTGCACACTTATGCTGATTGCACACTCATCGGGAGACGCAGTTTCACATTTACACCAAGCTCCCTCTTTGACAATGCTGCTGACTGCGAACAGCAAATGAAAAGGACGACGGCAGGAATCCCGACCTGAGCCGTCGGGCCTAAAGTCCTGTCACCTCATGCACCCACCTCCTTTCTTTGGATTGAAAAGTTAACAAAAAAATAAAAAAAATGAAAAAAAACAAATAAGAAAAAAAAACAAAAAAAACAATCGTTTCATAATCAATGAATTTGCAATTGAGAAATAATCAAGGGGCTGTTCCGATACTTCCCACCCCTTCGGGAGATTTCCTGCCGTTGGCATGGCAGGTGCTATACCAAGCTTTCCTCTAGGTCACGCTGTCCCATTTGCTTATGCTCACATGTCGACACGCCAGGCATCTGTATCTCATCGTGTAGATTGGCGTGCACACTTGGAGTGGAATACTAACTAGTATTCTGCAGGAAGGTGGCGCAACAAACAACTCCGTCATCTTAGCAATGGTGTGCAGGCCGAGCGGTTTGAGTTACAATTGCGAGGTGTTGATCAACAACCTCTTGAGCCAGGTATGGACCCCCTCACTGTTCGAGGAGTGATTTATGCAATTGTTCATTTACCTTCTGGTCGTTTTTATGTTGGACAGACGATGCATTCTGCACACCAAAGGCTGCAAGAGCATTGGCATACACGACACTCTTCTGCTACTTTTCACCATTGCCATTCTACCGCACAATGAGTGGGCAACCAGCATTCAACTTCGCGGCTTGGCCCCTGGAATGCATCGATCCTACCCTGTATCATACGTCTGGAGATCTTGTTGATCATGGCCTCTTTCGGAGGGCTGCTGCACCCCGCGAGGTTTTTTGGGTTCGAAAACTTCGAACGCTTCAACCACTCGGTTTCAATGCAGTCCTTCCAATGGCTAGATTGCCATCTCCACGACGACATTTACGTCCTTCCCGATGGACACAAATGGGCCCTCAGCCGTTCGTTCCGCAATCCCCTTTTGCTCAGCCCTCACCTGCTCCACCTATTCCTGCATCAGCTAATCCTCCTCACACATCACCCCTTTTGCCGACACCC